GAAAATGAGATGAAACGAAATTAAGATGAGGGATATACAACGATTTGAACATGTGAATTTGAATATGAAAAAGAAAGAATATGAAGTGAGACGGATATGAACGGAGGGTTCATATTGAAACATGCATGAAATTCCAAAGTTTAATTTGTTAAAATTGAAACTCTAGAGTTTAAATTGAAAAACACAAGAAATCCTGAATTTTTTTTTTACAATTAACCCATATTTTTTTAAATCACTATTATACTGTAATTCTCCTTTTAATTTTTAGGTTAAAATATTTAAAAATCACAAAATATAATTAAAAAAGTCATTAGTACAAAATGTTAATTTTTATTTGAGGGATTTATTAGGAAATACTTGTATTGTATCTCAATTAGAAGTTGGAAGCGGCAGCACACGCAGCTTCCGTTTGGGAAGTGGGTTAACTTTTAGGCTTTTTGATTTTTTTGATTATTTGAGCCTGGGCTCAAAAGCTTAGTTTGGGAATGACTTTTTGACTTTTTTGACTTTTTTTGTGAGAGAAGAGTGTAATGATTATGGATTAAATGTAATGTTTTGTCTGTTGTGGCTCAAATAACTATTAACTTTACATTTTATTTATTTATTTATTTATTTATTTTTGCCTCTTTAAATTCAAGAAAAAGATCTAACATGTTCCTATATCTTCCCTCACAATCCATGCCATTAACAGTTTATTCAAAGGAGTGAAGAGCAATTGCTTCATAGGTATAGGGGTAATTTAGGTAAAGGAATGTTACTTTTCAAAGTGGGTTTGTTGGAAACCAGTTCAATACTTTGGGCAGGCCAACAATTGGATTAGAAACAAATCTACTGGTGCTTACCTAACATCAGTCCATTAGGTCCTATTTGAGATAAGAAGACCAAAATACCCTTTTCATCTACTTATGTTCCATTTAGTTCATATTATTTTTTTATGTTTCAATAAGTCCTATGGGTGACATAATTACCAAAATATCCCTAATGTGAATGTTCACACCGTCAATGTGAATGTTCATATCGTCAATGTGTAGGGGCCCGGCCCATGTCAATCCTCGTGGGTGCCCAAAAAAATTCGAGTCGGGCCAGGACGGGCCCGGCCCATGAACAATGTGAATATTCACATTGACATGTTAACATTCACATTAATAGGAGTGTAAAATTGGCCCGCATTCCGTGGTGGCGCGAAACTCGCCCGCAGCCCATGGAAGGCCCGGGGCGGGCCCGGTCCGGCCCGTTGACAATGTGAATATTCACATTGACATATTAACATTCACATTGATAAGAGTATAAAATTGGTCGCGGCCCATAGGCGGCCAAAAACCCACCCACGGCCCGGGGCAGGCTCGGCCCGTCCCGTTGACAATGTGAATATTCACATCGACATGTTAACATTCACATTGATAGGAGTGTAAAATTAGCTCGTGTCTCGTGACTGCCCGAAACCTGCCCACGACCCATGGGTGGCCCAGGGCGAGCTCGGCCCGACCTGTTGACAATATGAATATTCACATTGACATGTTAGCATTCACATTGATAAAAGTATAAAATTGGCCAGCAACCCAGGGCGGGCCCAGCCCGGCCCGGCCCGTTGACAATGTGAATATTCACATTGACATGTTAACATTCACATTGATAGGAGTGTGAAATTAGCCCGTGCCTCGTGGTTGCCGGAAACCCGCCCACGGCCCGTGGGCGGCCTGAGGCGGGCCTGGCCTTTTTTTTATAATTCTTTTTAATTTTTTCTACCAAAATTTTATTATTTTCCACAAAAAAAGACACTAGGCCTCGCGCACGGGCCGGGCCTTGCACCGAGCCTTGAATGGGCCTTAACCGGGCCGATGGGCCAAGCCGGGCTTCAAAGTGATGGCCCAGGCCCTAGCCTAAGGTCTCGGACTAGGCTCGAGCCTAGGCCCAAACGAGCCTTTTCCTGGCCGAGTCGGGCCGGCCCATGGGCCAAAAAATTAGGCCCTAGCCCTGGCACAAGGGTATTCGGGCTTTGGACGGGCCAATGGATCAAGCCTCGGGTCGAGCCGGTGGGCCTGGGCCTAGCCTCGAGCTTAGGTCGGGCTTGGGCGGGCCTAGTCTTTTTTTTTTAATTCCTTTTAATTTTTTCTACCAAAATTTTATTATTTTCCACAAAAAAATACATTGCGCCTCGGCGCGGGCTGGGCCTCGGACCGAGCCTTGAATGGGCCTTAAGTGGGCCGATGGGCCGGCCAGGGCTTCAAAGTGATGACCTAAGCCCTAACCTAGAGTCTCGGACCCGGACTGAACTGAGCCTGCCTCGAGCCGTGGGCGGGCTTTGGGCAACCCACGGGCCGCGGGCCAATTCTACATTCCTATCAATGTGCATTTTAACATGTCAATGTGAATATTCACATTGTCAACGGGCCTGGCCGGGCCTATCCGGGCTGCGGGCAAGCTTCGGACAGCGGGCAAATTTTACACTCCTATCAATGTTAATGTTAACATGTCAATGTGAATATTCACATTGTCACGGGTCGAGCCAAACCCGTCTCGGGTTGCGGTCAGGTTTCCGGCCGCGCACGAGCTGCAGGCCAATTTTACACTCTTATCAATGTGAATGTTAACATGTCAATGTGAATATTCACATTGTCAATGGGCCGGGTCGGGCCTGCCCTGGGCCATTGACCAATTTTATACTCTTATCAATGTGAATGTTAACATGTCAATGTGAATATTCACATTGTCAACAGGCCGGGTCGGGCCGGCCCCGGGCCGCCCATGGGTCGTGGGCGGGTTTCGGGCAGCCACGAGGCGTGGGCTAATTTTACACTCCTATCAATGTGAATGTTAACATGTCAATGTGAATATTCACATTGTCAACGGACCGGGCCAAGCCCGCCCCGGGCTGCAGGCAGGCTTTTGGCCGTCCATGGGCCGCGGGCCAATTTTATACTCTTATCAATGTGAATGTTAACATGTCAATGTGAATATCCACATTGTCAACAGGCCGGGCGGGGCCCGCCCCGGGCCGCCCATGGACAGTGGGCGGGTTTCGGGCAGCCACGAGGTGCAGGCTAATTTTACACTCCTATCAATGTGAATGTTAACATGTCAATGTGAATGTGAATATTCATATTGTCAACGGGCCGGGTCGGGCCCACCCTAGGCTGCTGGCTAATTTTATACTCTTATCAATGTGAATGTTAACATGTCAATATGAATATTCGCATTGTCAACGGGCCAGGCCGGGCCCGCCTTGGGCCGCTGGCCAATTTTATACTCCTATTAATGTGAATGTTAACATGTCAATGTGAATATTCACATTGTCAACGGGTCAGGTCAAGCCCACCCTGGGCCGCTGGCCAATTTTATACTCTTATCAATGTGAATGTTAATAAGTCAATGTAAATATTCACATTGTCAAAAGGCCGGGCCGGGCCCGCCCCGGGCCGTCCATGGGCCGTGGGCGGGTTTCAGGCAGCTACGAGGCGCGAGCTAATTTTACACTCCTATCAATGTGAATGTTAACATGTCAATGTGAATATTCACATTGTCAACGTCTGGGCCGGGCCCTCCCCGGGCGGCCGGCGGGTTTTTGGCCAGCCATGGGTAGCGGGCCAATTTTATACTCTTATCAATGTGAATGTTAACATGTCAATGTGAATATTCACATTGTCAACGGGCCCGCCCCGGGCCGCCTATCGGCCGCCGGCGGGTTTCGCGCCGCCACGGGATGCGGGCCAATTTTATACTCCTATTAATGTGAATGTTAACATGTCAATGTGAATATTCACATTGTCAAAGGGACGGGCCCGCCCCGGCTTGCGGGCGGGTTTCGAGCCGCCCACGGACCAATTTTACATTCCTACCAATGTGAATTTTAAAATATGAATGTTCACATCACAAAATTGCTAACTGTTCAAAAAATATTTGTAAAGGTATCAAAATTAAATATAAGGGCATAAGTGTCTAAGAAAATAGTGTAAATCAAGAAAAATGACTTTATAGAATAAAACTATACATACATGGGACTAAATGGGTTAAAAAAAAATTTCATGAACTTCTTGGGTTAAAACACTTCTAAATGAATTTATCAATAATTTACCCTTTATTTATTTATTTATTTATTTATTTTTGCCTCTTTAAATTCAAGTAAAAGATCTAAAGGCTATTTTGAAAAGATGGTTATAATCAATTTTTTGGTGAAAAGAGCAGCTTTTCTATGAGAGAGAAAATGAGTTATAATCTATGAAGTGGATTATAACCCACTTCCCAAAAGGGACCTCAGTATTCATGTTCCTATATCTTCCCTCACAATCCATGCCATTAACAGTTTATTCAAAGGAGTGAAGAGCAATTACTTCATAGGTGTAGGGGTAATTTCGGTAAAGGAATGTTACTTTTCAAAGTGGGTTTGTTGGAAACCAGTTCAATACTTTGGGCAGGCCAACAATTGGATTAGAAACAAATCTACTGGTGCTTACCAAACATCAGTTACCAATAATTGCCAAACTAAGTTATTGTCAATGGGGAATGGCAATGGAAATGGCAATCATCATTATTACCATTCCAATAGCACGGACACGAACAATATATATATATATATATAAAAAGTATGTGTAAAATAAATAATTTTATAAATATTCATTTTAAATTTAATAAAAATATATAACAATAACACAAATTTCTAAAGTTTAAACAGAGGGTGAATTAATAGGATTACATCTGCATTTTTTTAATCATTAAACCCTGTCATCTTTTTTTTCTCTTTATTTTTTATTTTTTCTTTTTTCTTTTTTCTTAATTTAACTTATACTTTGTTTGGACATATGTATTTCCCAAATGTCTAAAGGTACCCGAATCTAACAAAATAATAAGACATACTTAGATGTGTGTTCGACATAAGCAAAAGTATCCAACAAATATCAATATCCGATGACATGTATCGAATATAAACATGGCAATTTCTGAAGAGTGTTTATGTTTCTTAGCCTATGTATGTGTAGAAGGAAACATGAACTCCATTCTCAATATAAAATGCAAAAGCCACCACTTGCAACCTATGATTCCTCACAATCTTTAAAACACCTTCGAACAAACATAACAGATGAAATTTGCACAGGAAAACGGCTTTTTTTTTGTTTTTTTGTTTTTTTCTGTATTAGATAGACTTCACTGGTGGATACAACATCCGAATCAATGTGCAAAACGTGAATAAAATTCGTTACATTTATGCTTGCAAAAATATCAAGCAGTCGGAGAGAATGCTTTTTCTACCTGGAGACTGAGTAACAGAAACCCAGCCATTGACACGCAGACTGCAACAAGCATGACCACTAACATCGCCAGCAACGAAATGTATGGGCTCACGAAAAACACAACCGCCATTGAAGCGCTCTGCCAAACCTTGAGCTGCGCAAATGCTCCTTCCTGTACCCCAAAAGTTATAATATTTGAGATTTGATATTTTGTCAGTCATTCAGAATTTAGGTGCAAGTAAAATTACATAGAGAAACAACCAAGAAAAGATAAAGGCCAACTATCCTCCATATAAATGAAAAAACAAAATAAAAAATAAAAATTAGACATAGTAGGTGTATAATCTTTAAGAAAAATAAAATTACAAGGGTTACAAACCATTGGTGGGACAAGGTTAAGTGGGAACATCAAAATGGCAACTTGTAAGCACCACCGGCAAGTGACGAAATTATGTCTCAAGGACTTAGTGTCAAACACTAGCCATGATCATTATATTTTCTGATTTTCACTGAATTTTTTAAGTTCTACAGTTTCGGAAATTTTCTCCTTTTGTATAAACAGCTTATTTTTCGTTTGTCTGTGAAAAGAGTATAGTCTACTGTTTTTATCCTATGAGCTGTTTCACACACACAATCTGAAAACAGTTTGTGTTTTTCCTAATTTCATATTATTTCTGGAGCAATTCTTAAGTGTGCAAGTGCATACCATATGCACTCGCGTAAATTTTCGCAATTCTTAAGTGTGCAAGTGCATACCATATGCACTCGCGTAAATTCTCACAAATATACGTAAGTTAGCTTACAAAATCATATAAATTTTCATAAACATACATAAGCTAACTCATAAAAATTTGAAAAATCACAACTTACGTAGAACTTGCGCAATTTTGTGAAGTAACTTATATATATTTGTGAGAACTTATGCAAGTGCGTATGATATGCACCTTGCACACCCAAACATTTATTTCTGTTACTGTTTTCTAAAACCAAGTTTCTTGTTTCACTTCTTTCCTCAAGTAAAGATAGTGAATGAAAAACCCTTGGATAAGAACGTAGGCAGAGTTTGTCTGGCAAAAACTACTTTTTATAAAATAAAAAAAAAGTATCAGAAGTTTCATAGTTAGATATTCTCATTTAACAAAATTACAAGATCCAAAAGAAGGTTGCAAAGGGTAATGTATGCATTTCTCGAGTCTGCACTTTAAGTGAAAAAGGAACAACAAAAAAAGGGGAGAAAAAAGATTTTAAAAAGGTGTGCACACGCACACACTGGTAATTTAAACATTCATTTAGCAAAAACTCATTCAATATATATCTTAAATAACATATGAAGTCAACAACAATTAAATGCAAATAAATAAATAATCAAGAAGCATGTAGTAACTAACAAAACATGTAATTAAAATTACCACCCTATTCCTTAGTGTGAATAATTAGAGTGCTAGGCTTTATGTCTAGGTGTTTGGAAAAAGTCAGGCAAAAGAAAAGCTTAGGACAAACAAAGAGAATAATCACTACCGTATCATGCTTAAAGAGCATTCCAAGTAAAGCACTAAGCTGTGTATTGAATACTCCATCACCAATGCCCCATATGGCTGCAATGAGATAAGGGTAGATTGTGCCAAGTACTTCACTACTCACACTGCATAATAGCACAGTAAAACAAGGACCGAACAATGTCATAACAGCTTCAAACCAGATAATACAATTTAGAACTACAGAACAGACTCTAATAATTTAAGAATAATTGGAGTTCACAAGAGAGCTAACCTATACTTAAGCAGAAGCCAGATCAGCACAATAATCTGAATAAAAGCTCCAGCAGAAATTATTAGAGTGACTGACTTCAGACCAGAGGTAAGCCGACCCACAGCCAGTGAACACTGACACAAATTGCAAACATAAACTCAGTACAAACAACTCGATGACTCAAACAAACAAATTATACAACAAAGATGGTCATGTTACAGTACCTACGTGCTATGGCACATTAGTATTTTCCTCTCCAACATATGAGACTAAAGATGACAATATAGATTGTGCGTAAAAACTTGCCACAATTGGAATGCACAAACCACGGGAAAATAAGATCACAGAAGAAAGCACAAAAGTACTACCACAGCAATAAATATAATTGCCTTATTTCAAACACATCTAATAAAAATAAAAAATAAAAAAGAACTACAGAAAAATTTATATCTTTTATTGTTTCTTTTTTCCCTCAGAAGATAAGGGTTGATGAAAATGTAGTAAACTCGTAATTTATTCTTATTTCCCCAAATCAAAAAAATATAAGAGATAAAGAAAAGATGCCTTGTCAAAATTGATGCACGTAAAATAAAGAAAATGAACTGTTACTGTGAGCTAATTCATTTAAAACATCCCATATAGCCTACTCATTTGTACATTGCCATACTTACAATTGCATCAAAAGCCCCATACACAGCCATAGCACCACCTACACCAGACACACCAAGTGCAGGTTTCACAATGTCCTTGGTGAATTCAGCCCTAAAATGGTAAACACACTCCATGCTTAAGTGAAGAAATAGTTAAGAAAACAGTATACAGTGAATGAATTGAACAGTGAAAGGACAGCAACAATGTGTAATGTATAAGTAATCAAATATTACCATACAAATGCTTGTTGTAAGCCTGAATATGCAATAAGGGGGACGATTAACAGCATTCGTATGTCAAACAATGGAGTGATGACAGACTTTGATAGAGAAACCAAGGTAGAGTTGAAACTGACAGAAGACTCTGGTAAACCCTCCTCTCTTTTAACATCCCGCGTATGTAAGAAGCACATGAGTATGGTACCTAAGGTCATACTACAAAGGAACACAATGAATAATAAAGTTGTACCACTGGTACTTTCCCCCTGCAGTGAAGTGAAAGAACACCAAATCAATAATTCAAGTGTTTTAAAAGAAATATGAAAAGAAATATGACATTCAGGTGTAGAATCTAAAAATGCTTCAAATTTGCCACACCCAAATGCAAGAAATGGGATCTTAGTTTCCTCATTTCAATTGATCAAAGACCCATTAATCATTGGCCATCAATTTTCTGGATTAAAGAACATTATCCAGCATTGACCCCCATTAATCAAACGTGTTGGGAGGGATAAGATTGGATGAAGATCTAACCTTTGCATCCAGTCCAACCCCTTGTAGTAAAAAATGCTACTAATAGAATTTAATCACATTTATATTTCAACTTCCTTATTTATATGTAATTTCCTGACTTCAGTCAATGCTGTTGTAATTGACAATACATAGACATACTGTACTGCTCTACAACTTGGTTGATTCTAAAAGTAGTACTGTAAAATACAATTCAAGAGCTTATAGAGAGACAAAGAAAAGAAAAACCAATTATTATTATTATTATTATTATTATTATTATTTCCACTAGAGGCTTGAAGGCTTCTTTATTTGTTTTACTTTATTTTCTTGATAAGTAAAATTCATTAACAAAAAAACACCAACAATGGAAGCACCATCCCTGCAGACTTTTTAAGCATGCAATCCACGAGTTTTAGACATACAAAGAAATGCAAATTTTTCTTTTGCACTAGAGATGCAAAAATTAATTTTATTCCATTAAAGAAGTTTCTGGTGCAATGAAGTTCTGATTATCATTGAATTGTGATGCATGCATTAATATCAACAACAAAGATAATGATTTGGTACTGGTAATACAAACAAAAAAATTGGCCACACAAATCGAAGATTGGAATTAAGAGTGTGCACATACCGTTCCATCACTCAATAGAGCAAGAGAGATAAGATTTCCAATGAACTGCAAAATTCAATACCAAATGGAGATTATTGCAGATTGACAACATTCATACAAAAAATTAAAACCACAAGAAACGAATTTTCCATCAAAAGCTAAAATGCCACACCTGGTGACTAGCAAACATTCCCCAAAATTCTCCATTAAAGTTACCAATCACAGTTCCTTCGTGTAGGTTGCAATCATGTGCATGACTGCGTGCAGTGGAAGTAAGATATGTCCCCTGATGAGTCAGAATATGGTCAGGGAAGAAGAAATAGTTGTATTACATCAAATACAGAAAAGTCAAACCAAATCAAGAAGATGGACTTTCACCTGCGCAACCCATATTATTGAAGCAGCAAATCCCAGGTACAAGGAAGCTGGCACCATCGTGTACCTACAACAAGAATCATTCAATTATATACAACTTCATGTATTTGATGAAAAAAATATGACACACCTTTTCTTCCTCTTCCCTTTTCCAGTTAGGAGTAGAGTTTGCCATAAATATCTTAAGGAAAACTTTCCATGCATATGTTTATGTGTCAGTGGCATTGTTTAAGAAAGACAAACCGAAGCTGACAAGCACAAAGACTTGTGCGGTTTCAAATCAGATACTAATCACCTTGCGAAAATAGTGGAAAGGTTAGGTCTATATCTAGTCTTAACTCCCAGCACCCTCCTCAAAAGTTCAGGTCTATCACTTGAAAAGTTTAGTGATTTGAAGTCTAAGAAGTACAGACACAAACACACCGACACGACAATTTAAAAAAAAAATGCCAGACACAATATATGGTAGACTCTCAAAAAAATAAAATTTTACATATTTATTATATATCATATATATGAATACCATGTTCAAACATAATAAAATAAAATAAAAAATACAACATGAGACTAATTGCAGAAATGTTCCAACTGTTATCTAGAGATGAAACGGGGCACCGATGGGCCTTTTTTGCTCAGTTGGTATCCAGATGGACGAGGCTTTCTGTGATTCTAGATTTCCAGCTGTTTGTATGAGAAGCAGTATAGCACAATTCTACCGACTAAATTTCCTACCAATGACTGACAAATATTTTTCTTCCCCTCTTCAAGTGCAGGGCATGTGAGAACTCGTGCCGGTTCAACTTTTGCAGATAACAGTTGGAATATTTCTCCTGCCGGTTCAACTCCTGCTTGGATGAGAAGTAGTATAGCACAATTCTACTGACTAAATTTCCTACCAATGACTGACAAATATTTTCCTTCGCCTCTTTGAGTGCAGGGCATGTGAGAACTCCTGCTGGTTCAACTTTCGCAGAAAGTTTCATTAATTCCAGCAGATTTTATGATAGCAGTGCCATAGCTCTTTCAGCAAAAAGAAAGTTTTCAACTATAAACTAGCACATAGAAATCCATGCTTAATTCTTCTAATCCTCCTAACAGTCATTATACATCAGATGCAGTTCCATCTAATCACTTAAACTTTGACAATTAATTATGACTCATAATACTTAATTGCTCACTGTATCTTCTTAGCATCTTCTACCACATTATCATACAGAAATTGAACAGCAAATTGTCTAAAAGTTGATTTCCTGGTACAAATCATCCACCTATATCTCCATCCAGATGCAATATAAAATTTAACACATAAAAATAATATGTTTAACTTAGGACAACTAACTCAAAAATTTTAGTATAAATTGTAAAAATTGACAGGAACTAATTACCATGTTTGTCCTGAACTAAATTAAGCCAATTATTTGTCAATGGTGAGAAACTAATTACCATGTTGGTATCAAATTCGCTGCTATGAACAACCAATACCCAGTAGTCCCAAGAATAAGAGCATTTTTCGACCCCAAAAACCGAACCACCAATGAAGCAACCAAAGAAAAAACCGTAAAAGACGAATACAGAATCCCAAGTGAAATTGTCCCTAAATCTTCCTCCTGCAACCAAAATTCAATTCAAATTAATCCAAAAAAAATAGCCTAAAAATAATCAATTATTCAATGGGTTAGTTTAACTTTTATCCCTAAACTATCACCATTTTCTCTATTTCATTCTTAAGCTATCAATTTCGTCTATTTAATCCTTAAAGTTTCTGAATTCTGTTCATGTGGTCCAATTTGAGATGATTGTACGAATCGTAACCATTGAAGCCTAATTTTATAGGCAAAAAGATAAAATTTAAAATTTGAACAACTTAAATTACACAACCAAATACCCATTAAATTAGGTGCGGCTTGCAGTTTGTTAAAAATAGTAATAAAAAAAAAGTGAATGTTTTGTTCTATGATTTAATTTAAGTTGTTCAAATTCATAAATAACTTTTTTTTTCCCATCAAATTAGGCTTAAGCAATTATTGATTTGTAGAATTATCTCTAATTGGACCACATGAATAGAAAATAGAACATTAAATACACAAAATTGATAGTTTAGAAATGAGATAGAAAAAATGATGATAGTTCAAAGGATAATGATCAACTAAACTCTAGAAAACATATTAACCAAATCAAATTCTGCTTCAGAAAACAAAAAATTACTTCTAAAATGACAACAAGCGGAGTTAGAGCTCACAGTGTTGATAGTACTCTCCAAGTTCTGAGCAGCACCATAAGCCAAGAAAATCAACAAGAAAGCCGAGCTCAGAATATGCACATCTCTGGTATGGCTCTTGGTTAGGGTTTTAGAATCCAAGTGTTCAGCAACGAGTGGTGTCTCTTCGTCCATGGCTTCTCAGAACTCTCAATTGGGTCGATTTGCCACTACGAGATATATAAACCATAGAAATTGGTTGTGTGGTGGGGCATATGAGAGAGAGAGAAAGAGGAAGAAGTGCCGGCGAGAGTGGTTAGGAGTAGAAGACGTGTGAAAGAGTTTGAATTTATTGGAGGCATCGAAGAATCTGAAGAAGAGACAGACAGCAAAGACGGAGAGAGAAGAGGAGGGAGATGATGAAATTTGCATTTCTTTAATGCTTGTTTGGTGAGTGAGAAAATAAAGGAAAATTTTGGTGATTTTGTCTTTGTTTGGACTTCTATGTCGCCGGTGCTGATTCGTTTCATCGAAATTATCTTTTAATTGCGGGAAAGATAAAGACGTTTTTTAACCGTTTATTTTAGTTGGTTATTAAAAATGATTATTTAAAAAAAATAGATATATGATATGACTGATAGGGGTGTATATGATCCGGATTGATTCGATTCTGAAAAAATTTAAAAACCAAATCGATTGTAATGATTTTGTGATTTTGAGAACTAAAACAGACTATTACACTTGTAAAATCGAAGCAGAACCAAACCAACGGTTTTAAAAAAAATTTATTTACAAGAATAAATTATTAATATTAACAAAATAATTACTCAAACTAATTACATTTAACTCATGATAAAAATTATTAATATTAAGACATTACTTAACATTACATATTTATATCATTCTAATATCATCAAAATTACAAAAAACCAATTAATAAAAATAAAACTTGATATAATATGTATGTATATATCTATATATATATATATATATTTTAAAATACGGTTTGGTTCGGTTTGAATCGTGATTTTTCATAAAATTCATTGACCGAACCGTTTTTTATGGTTCTTATATTTCTTAAACCGAATCGGTTTTTAATAGAACCGAATCAAACCGTATAGTTCGGTCTGGTTCAATTCGAATTACCGGTCTGAATGAATTTTTAAACAGTCCTAATGACTGAAATAAGTTAATAAGTTGATAAAGAGTTTATTTATGTATTTTCTAAGGGCATCTTTAACGCTTCATCAAATTTGAGTCAAAATATAATAAAAAAAATTGATCTGATATGATACATTCCAATATTTTCATCAAATTTGAAGCACCGTATTGAGCACCAATACAATACAACGATTGGAGCACCGTTTTCACCGAATTTAAATTTGATGAATGATCTCATACAGCATTAGAGATGGCCTAAAAAAAAAACTAAGAGAGAATATATTTTTTTTAAATAATAAATTATAATAACCCTCCTAAATTTTGATTCATTTATACTTTCTTTTTGTGCACTTCAAAGTTAATAGCTAACCATTTTAAAATATTAGGTATCTTTTTATAAATACTTTATGCGAGGATTCTGTTAACGATTTAAATAGAATACACATTATTTTATAGGATAACAATGAAATTACTAAATAAGACTATTACCTTATCTTAGTGATAAAGTGTAAACGAAATACCAAATAAGACTATTATTGTCCTTGAAATTCAATAAGTGTGTTGTGTGTCCTTATGTTGTGTAAGTCCCTAACAAAATCAATAAGAAAATGAGATTTCTAACGATGAGAGTTCCAAGAGTTTCAAAACCCTAAACCAATTTTGTTGATTTTTGACTATTTTTTTAAAAGGAGAAAAACATTAATTGGTTATTAAAAATTTAAATCATAGTCAACAAATCACTTAAATTTATTCACCCAAAAAAAAAAACAAATCACTTAATGAATATTCATTTATTATTTGGGGATTTAAATTTCAAAATTTGATACAAAATAAAATACACATGATTTAAAAAATTGCTTTCCATAACCTCAAAAAATACTATATATATATATATATTTAAAATCAAATAGTATACCATGATTTGTAGAATTTGAAAAGAAAATATATAATTAAACTTTTTACTTTATGCTATTTCTTACCTAACCTTTCTTTTTTTCCATAATTTGTTCAATTTCAAAACCTTACAACATTATAACTTCAACACAGTCATCACAACTCTTAAACATTATAACTTTTTCATAAACTATTACTATCATTTCTCACTTTATGCCTACACGGCAAGAACATATCATGGCAAGGGAAAACAACATTGTGGAGAACAAAATTATGAAAGGTGATTATTAAAAAATTATCATCTTCTTATATTTTAGCTTTTCACTTAGTATAACTTGATGCCTACTCGATCTCTCATCCCATTATGAACTTAGATTATTTTCAACAATGACAATATGTAAAGTTGTTGAAAAATCAATCTGTGAACAGTGAAGGGATGTATGTAATTAAGTGTTCAACTTTTAAATTTTTTTATTTACTTTTTTTTTTAGTAAGGGTTGTATAAATTTCAATTTGAGAGCAGTGAATGGAGGTATGTAATTAAGCGTTCAACTTTTAAATTTTTTTATTTTCTATTTTATTTAATTTTAAGAGTTGTATGAATTGTAATATAAGGGCAGTGAATGGAAGTATGTAATTAAGTAATCAACTTTTAAATTTTTTTTGATTTTTTGTTTTAATTTTACATTCATATTTTTTTTTTTTAAGAGTTGTATGAATTCTAATATGAGAGAAGTAAATGGAGGAATATAACTAAGCGTTCAACTTTTAAACTTTATTTATTTATTTATTTTGATTTTCTATTCAATTTTATTTTTTAAAAAATATATTTTTAAGAGTCTTGTGAGTTCCAAAACTTCAAAGTAATTTTCTTATTTTTTAATATTTTTAAATAATTAAAAAAACTTTTTTATTGGTTAACCAATTATGTAAATAAATAATAAAAAACCCCTCTAATTATCCTTTAAATTTGAATTTCAAAATTCAAATATCCGTATCCCATTTATTTTCCTCACTCTAAACCTTTCCAAGTAAAGAAAATTAATGAAAAATTCCAAGGTAAGGATGGTATAAGGCATTAGGTTCAGTGGATATTTTTTATCAACGAGAGGTCCACCATTTGTGAAATAATTTGGTGAAAAATCCTTTCATTGATTTTGGAGGATATTTTGTTTTCAATTTTACCCCTAAATTTATTTGTTGACTTTTTTTTATCTGTTGACTTTTCGTTGACTATCTATTCAAATTTTTTTCTATAAGTTTAAATTTATATCTATCTGTTCAAATTTTTTGACTATTTGTTCAATTTTCCCCCTTATTTGTTCAAATAACTGTCCAAATTTTATTATTTGTTCATTTTTTTTTCTTCTATCTGTTGAAATTATTTTAATGTATATGTTTTAAGTTTTTTATATGTGCAGATTAGAGAAAGGAAAGAGTGAAGATTATTTATTCAACCAAACTATTTGCTCAAACCAATTTTTTTTTTTTTTTTTTTGTTGAAGTACAAAGTTATTTGTTGAAATTCAAAGAGTGATCTGTTGAAATTCCTATTGTCTATTTCTTAACTGTGCAAACTACATACATACATATCTATATATTTCTCTTATCTGTACAAACCTATGCCAACAAAACCCTATCTATTCAAACACAACATTAGTGACACTACATTCGGGGAACAATTGAGAGGTTAATCAATCCAAAAACACGTTTGTCTTTGTTTTCATGGCTGAAGCTACAATTAAGTACATTTCATCCCAAATGTCCATTTTTCCCTTATTTCTTTTTTTCTTTCTTCTTCTTGTCTAAAGTGTTCCATTGATTTTTCTTTATGAAATTTCACAATGATTTTGTTTGTTCTCAAGGTTTTTATTAATTCATAGAGAACAGTGATAACAATTTATACCATAAATTTTCAAACTGTATTTGTTTTCCTGATAACACTGTTTATTGCAATCATTTGGTACCAAAAGTACACTAAGTAAATTCTTGCATGGAGAACTCTTGAAAGAAAAAACAACAACCAATTTTTCACAACTTAAAAATGTCCTTGTTTGCTTTTTGGAAATATCGAAGAAAATAAAAAACCAAAATACCTTTTTGTTTTGAAATGCTAGAAATCTTCCAATATTTCTTTTTCTTTCACTTTCTTTCTCCTTTATTTTCCCAACAACCAATTAGAGAGAAAGAGGGAAAATGCGCCAAAAATAGGGAGCACGTAGGAAACCAACAGAACTAGCTTGGACTTCATGGAATTAAGCGGACTCACAAAGCTTCCTACTTGAGCAACCAAATATACCACGTGAATCACAACGCGGCATAGAACGCGTTACCACTTTGACCCGAGTAAATCGACACTCGGGGCCCACCTAAAAAATAGACCGAACTTTAGGAAAAAATTAACCATTTCCAACATCATAATCATGAGTGTTGCAAGAAGAATCTGAAGAAGCTCTAATGAAGAAGACGATAGCGGTGTAGAGAGAGAACAATACTAGGATCATCAGATGATGGCAGTTGAAATATTTTCGCTTTCAACTCAATCTCTCTCTATCTCTATTTCTCCTTCTACCCTCACACTCCCCCATCGGAAAACCACAAATCTCTTACCGGAAACCGCTATACCCTAACGGAAAACCACTACGACTTCTCTATCTCTAAACCATGGCCAACACTACCTTCATACCTTCTATGGTTTCTCAATCCTAACGTCCCCTTTAGATCCTGCAAATCTTACTTCGGTAATAGCTTCACTCGCCGAATCGATCTCCTCAAACTCTCGTTTTCCAATCACCAGAACTTGGTAGTCAGATGTAACTCACAGCCTACAACGCTGCCCCACTCTCCGCTAAGATCAGCGTCTCCGTGGAAGATCTAAGATTTGAGAGCAAGACATCTAAGATTTGTGTGTGTGTGTGTATGTGTGTGTATGTGTATGTGTGTGTGTGTGTGTGTGTGTGTGTGTGTGTGTGTGTGTGTGTGTGAGTGAGAGATTTTGCAGTGTGGTTAGCGACGGTAGACGATGACGAATTACGACGACAGAGGACGCTTGGCAAGGACGTGGTTGACGCTCGTCTTGAGGCGTCATCTTTCTGAACCGAGTGTATTTGAGAAGCCACTAGAATAAGGGCTCCATCGTGAGGTGGTGGTTGTTGGAGGAGTGGATTGAACTGTGAGAGAGAGAAAGAGAGAGAGAAGACGATTGGATCAACGGTAGAAGCAGTGGCGGCGGAGGAGCGGTGGCGTTGGCGGCGAAATGAAGATTGGCAACGGAGATGAAGAGAGGGAGAGAGAGATCTAAGATGAAAAATGTGAGAGAAATCCAAGTCATAAAACGCATGAGACGTGTAAGAGGTGAATGAGTACTATGGTTATTTTGTACGAGCTTATTCTTATGGACAAAACATTTTAGGAGAGCTTCTATTTGCACATACCTATTCCTCTTTGTCTACTTCCTTAAT